TTCTCAGATCCAAGGGTTTGGGTCTGTGGTCACCTATGCAAATTGGTGAGGCTTTTTATCCAACATTTCCCAGGAAAGGGGGGGTGTAAGTATTGGGAGGATTGTTCATTGTTCTTAAGATCCAAGGGTCTGGGTCTGTAGTCACCTAGGCAAATTGGTGAGGCTTTTTACCAAACCTTGTCCAGGAAGTGGGGTGCAAGGTTTTGGGAAGTATTTTGGGGGGAAAGACGCGTCCAAACAGCTCTTCCCCAGTAACCAGTATTAGTTTGGTGGTGGTAGCGGCCAATCCAAGGACGACGGGTGGAATATTTTGTACACCTTGGGGAAGTTTTGACCTAAGCTGGTAAAGATAAGTTTAGGAGGTTTTTCATGCAGGTCCCCACATCTGTACCCTAGAGTTCAGAGTGGGGGAGGAACCTTGACAGATGTCAAGAATTATAACATTCATAAAGCAGTCGGAGAACACTTCAATCTCTCTGGTCACGCGATTTCTGATCTCAAATTGACTATCCTTCAATAAAAAAACTTCGAAAACATACTCCGGGAGACTGCTGAATTGGAATTAACTTGCAAATTGGATACAATTAACTTAGGCTTGAATAGAGACTGGGAGTGGTTGAGTCATTATATTAAGTAAAACTATTTCCCCTTGTTTATTCCTCCCCCCCCCCCCACCCGCCACTGTTCCTCAGACATTCTTGTTAACTCCTGGAAATGTGCTGGAAATGGCCCACCTTGATTATCACTTTAAAAGGTTCTCTCTCCCCCCACCCCACTCTCCTGCTTGTAATAGCTCATCTTAAGTGATCACTCTCCTTACAATGTGTATTGTTTCATGGTCTGTGTGTATATAAAATCTCCTCACTGTACTTTCCACTTTATGACAGGTTTCAGAGTAACAGCCATGTTAGTCTGTATTCGCAAAAAGAAAAGGAGTACTTGTGGCACCTTAGAGACTAACCAATTTATTTGAGCATATTTATTTCATGCATCCGATGAAGTGAGCTGTAGCTCACGAAAGCTTATGCTCAAATTGGTTAGTCTCTAAGGTGCCACAAGTACTCCTTTTCTATAGGGTGGTCATTCACTGATTAATTTTTCCTCACATAATCACCACTGAGAGCATAAAAACAATCCACATAAACGTACCCATGTTCCATATATCATTACAAGTAAGTTAACACTCTTCATTCTGCCTCATTAAACATTTTGGTAATAAATATTAGCAAGTGAAACATTCAAATTCTACCCTCAGCTAATCCACTGAAACATAAGAGGAGCAACTCCAGTGAGTGACATGTAATTATTGTAGTTTTACTCTTGAAAACTGATTGCTGAAATTGACCAAGGATCTTTGAAAAAAAAAATTGTTATTTCATTTAGACTCTTCTGTAAAGATGAAATGTTATCTGATATGCTAGTGATTCAACCTAATGAAGACTCCCAAAGCTATTCATATTGTCTCACGTTTATAACTTCAATGCTGGCAGTACCCTAGTTCCTCTGATTTGTCACAAACTTTTATCCTGAATTAAACCAGGATAAGCAAATGTTTATTAAAATTTTGAATATGAAAAAAATGAATGACTAAAAGATGCAATGTTTAAGAGAAAACAATGTCACAGACTTCAATAAGTCCTACAGCAAGACTGAATATTGTAACAGCTGCACCTTTTGACTATATCTTTTGAAATCCTATTCTTTTTGTACTGAAATGAAATTACTGGTATGAGAATTGTCATATATACACTGGAAACTGAAGTCCACATAACAAGTCCTGCATAAGCAGCAACAAAGCAAACTTTCCATACTGCGCCTCACAATTATAGCTAAATCTTGACTTTAGGCATACATGTTTCCATTTTCTGGTTTTGGCCATGAAAGGAAATTAAAGTACAATGTAACTTCAAGGCAAGAATCTTAAGCAAATTCTGACTAGGACCAAAATACTGTAGGACCTTGAAAATTCTCATCTTGCAAGTCTTATTATCACAAATCTTGGTTTTCTGACTCTCCTTATCACCACTGATTTAACAGCAGAGGACTAAACCATTCACTTAAGAACTGCACACAGAAGGAAGGAAAACTATGCCATTACCAGCCAAAGGAAGCAACCATGTGTGGAATGTTGAAGATGTGTAAAAATGGCAGCATCCCCTTTTTGCTCCAGCAAAGCTCCTGCAGAATTTGGAGGTCCTCAGTTTTTGTGGTGTGGAAGGAAGCTGGGCCAGAGGGGTAGCTATTCTCTGCAGCCATATCCCTCTCAAAACCCAAGAAGATTCACTATGCAGGTTCTTATACAGAAACCTGCTCTATAATATGACCTTTTAACTGAGGGAAAGTGGTTGGAATCAGCTCTCATGGGACTGACAAAGGGGCAGGAGACCACTCCAGGTTTACAGCCTTCCTCGCTGTACTCCTAGTGGATTTTGAGGACTGCCCCTGCGTGATCCACAAGAGAGGGTGGGGAGGAATACTCCACTACCTTTCCCTAAAGAACACTGGTGTTCAAATTTGTTGAGTTGCCTGTTGTTTCCATGGATTGTTCCTGAAGAAGGGATGACTTTCATGAGTTCTTTAGTGAGGCTTCATAATAATATGGCTTAATTTCTTGAACTATGTTTATTGGTATACTAATGAAACAATAGTTCAACATAAAATTGAACTGCTCTTCTCAAAATAAAAGAGAAAAGTATCTTTTGAGATATGCTTGATATTACCAACCCTAAGCATTCAAAATTCATGAATCAAGCCACAAAATCATGAGATTTTAAAATATAATAAATGTTGGGGTCCTTCCATTTGCTTTTTGGTATTTTAATTTTCAGTTTCTGTTTTTCTTTTGTTTTGGGATTTCCCCCCCCCCCCCAACTGTGAGATCTAGAAACGTAATCATATGTCGCCTGATGGCAAGAGTTTAAGAAAAACACCAAATATCGCAAGACTCGCAATAAAATCGTGAGACTTGGCAACAAGTATATGGTATCTTGGATATTGCTCTTACCGATTGGAAAATGTTAGTAATCTGTAATGGTCTATGTGAATTATCAATGGACTATTGTATCACAAGAAGAGTTAAAAATGTCCCTGGTGACATTTCCAGTCCAACTGGAAGACATAATTACTGGCAAACTGATGAGAATGGAAATTTCTTTCCCAATTTCTATATTAAGATGTTCCGATAAGTTTTGAAAAGCACAAGAATATCTGGATTCTTCCATGTACTGAATCTTCTGAGGTCCATCCCTCACTATTGTCAATTCATGTCAGATGTGATGGTTTTTGCAGTGTGGATATCTGCATGCTAAGACCACCGGCTCATTCCTCAGAGGACTAAGAACAGCTTTCAAAGAGTAACTTTCTGTCACTAATGACTTTGACCAGATTTGAACCACTGACCTAAAGAAAAAAGTTTCAATATACCATCTGAGCCATTATGTTCCCCTGTGTCTTATGCAAGCTTAAGAAATAGGAAAGGAAAGTTCCTAAAGCAATCAACCAAAATAAGTTTGTTTTTCCCCAATGCTGTATGGTCATTACTGTGGAATTTGACTTTTTCCAGTTGCATTATAAATATAACATTCCCTGACAGGTAAAAATGTAGGAATAAATTTTATGTGAGATCAAGGAGTATGCCTAAAATAAAGGTTTGGTAAGAATCCATACTATTTCTTGTGCTTTCAAAATAACAAAAAAACTCTTTTGCCTCTAACATTCCAGGAACTATTTTTGCTTGCCCTGAATGATAATTACATCTTGAAGTGTTCTGGTACTTTAAAAAAGCTCCTGCTGCAACACAGCAAATAGAAATTTGAGGATGAAAAAACAGTTATTTCACAAGAGATTAGCCACAGAAAAGTCTCAGTGTATGTGTTGCATGTTTTCAATTATCAGAGAGTCTGGGTATCAACTCATTGTTCCTGGCTTTGCTCAAGAACATTTTATGATGCTTCTTTGTTTTCAGTTGATAAGATAGCAGCTTGTTCATTCTTGTGGCTTTGGGAACAATTCCACTGACTACCTCATCTGTATTAATGCATTTGTCATGGAGAGAAATTGTACAAATTAGTTCACTTATTAACCAGGCTTTCATTCTTTTTCATGAATGTAATACAAATCACAGCATTTAAGAGGCATATTACAATCAGGAAAAATATTAACACAAAATAAAATCAGGACAGTTTTAAGCAATAGTGATGTGTCAGGAAATATAAAGTTATCTGTGTTGGGGAGATACCACCAATGCCCAGAAATACACTAGGAATATTTCCATCTTTGAATGTGGAGGATTTTATTACTTTGTTCCCTTTTGGAAAATATTTATATTTATATACCTATTTCTTCACTTTTATTAGACATACAGGATTCCAGAACTATTTACACATAATGATTTTGGTAAGATTGATATCAATACCTACAGGACATATATACAAAATTTTGATTCTCAGAATGCTGCAGAATTAAACTAAGTTTGGTAAATAAAATGTTTGACAGCTGAGTTTTGGTGAAATCATGGCAACATGGTTTGGGTCCGTGGTGCCCAGCCTTATTATGCAGGATGTTCACATAAACTGAAGCACAACCTGGTGTGGGCCAAACAGATTCTACACATTTTAATAATATTTAAAATCAGCTATATGGATTTATATTTTAAGTTCATCTTGTTTTGGGTATATTTAGATGGGTTATTTCTATGTACATTATTGTCTATTTACACACTTGTGTAAACAAATATGGTATGAATCAGCCATTAGCATATTCTGTTGAAGCAGGCCACTAGTCTTAGGTTGGGCACCATTTGTTAGCCCTGGTCTACACTAGGACTTTAGGTCGAATTTAGCAGCGTTAAATCGATGTAAACCTGCACCCGTCCACACAATGAAGCCCTTTATTTCGACTTAAAGGGCTCTTAAAATCGATTTCCTTACTCCACCCCTGACAAGTGGATTAGCGCTTAAATAGATGTTGCCGGCTCGAATTTGGGGTACTGTGGACACAATTCGATGGTATTGGCCTCCGGGAGCTATCCCAGAGTGCTCCATTATGACCGCTCTGGACAGCACTCTCAACTCAGATGCACTGGCCAGGTAGACAGGAAAAGAACCACGAACTTTTGAATCTCATTTCCTGTTTGGCCAGCGTGGCAAGCTGCAGGTGACCATGCAGAGCTCATCAGCACAGGTGACCATGATGGAGTCCCAGAATCGCAAAAGAGCTCCAGCATAGACCGAACGGGAGGTACGGGATCTGATCGCTGTTTGGGGAGAGGAATCCGTGCTATCAGAACTCCGTTCCAGTTTTTGAAATGCCAAAACCTTTGTGAAAATCTCCCAGGGCATGAAGGACAGAGGCCATAACAGGGACCCGAAGCAGTGCCGCGTGAAACTTACGGAGCTGAGGCAAGCCTACCAGAAAACCAGAGAGGCGAACAGCCGCTCTGGGTCAGAGCCCCAAACATGCCGCTTCTATGATGAGCTGCATGCCATTTTAGGGGGTTCAGCCACCACTACCCCAGCCGTGTTGTTTGACTCCTTCAATGGAGATGGAGGCAATACGGAAGCAGGTTTTGGAGACGAAGAAGATGATGAGGAGGAGGAGGTTGTAGATAGCTCACAGCAAGCAAGCGGAGAAACCGGTTTTCCCGACAGCCAGGAACTGTTTCTCACCCTAGACCTGGAGCCAGTACCCCCCAAACCCACCCAAGGCTGCCTCCTGGACCCAGCAGGCGGAGAAGGGACCTCTGGTGAGTGTACCTTTTAAAATACTATACATTGTTTAAAAGCAAGCATGTGAAAGGATTACTTTGCCCTGGCATTTGCGGTTCTCCTAGATGTAGTCCTAAAGCCTTTGCAAAAGGTTTCTGGGGAGGGCAGCCTTATTGCATCCTTCATGGTAGGACACTTTACCACTCCAGGCCAGTAACATGTACTCGGGAATCATTGTAGAACAAAGCATTGCAGTGTATGTTTGCTGGCATTCAAACAACATCCGTTCTTTATCTCTCTGTGTTATCCTCAGGAGAGTGAGATATAATTCATGGTCACCTGGTTGAAATAGAGTGCTTTTCTTCAGGGGACACTCAGAGGAGCCCATTCCTGCTGGGCTGTTTGCCTGTGGCTAAACAGAAATGTTCCCCGCTGTTAGCCACAGGGAGGGGGAAGGTTGAGGGGGTAGTCACGCGGTGGGAGGAGGCAAAATGCGACCTTGTAACGAAAGCACATGTGCTATGTATGTAATGTTAACAGCAAGGTTTACCCTGAAAGAGTGTAGCCACTGTTTTATAAAATGTGTCTTTTTAAATACCGCTGTCCCTTTTTTTTTTCTCCACCAGCTGCATGTGTTTCAATGATCACAGGATCTTCTCCTTCCCAGAGGCTAGTGAAGCTTAGAAAGAAAAAAAAACGCACTCGCGATGAAATGTTCTCCGAGCTCATGCTGTCCTCCCACACTGACAGAGCACAGACGAATGCGTGGAGGCAAATAATGTCAGAGTGCAGGAAAGCACAAAATGACCGGGAGGAGAGGTGGCGGGCTGAAGAGAGTAAGTGGCGGGCTGAAGACAGGGCTGAAGCTCAAATGTGGCGGCAGCGTGATGAGAGGAGGCAGGATTCAATGCTGAGGCTGCTGCAGGACCAAACCAGTATGCTCCAGTGTATGGTTGAGCTGCAGCAAAGGCAGCTGGAGCACAGACTGCCACTGCAGCCCCTCTGTAACCAACCGCCCTCCTCCCCAAGTTCCATAGCCTCCACACCCAGACGCCCAAGAACGCGGTGGGGGGGCCTCCGCCAACCAGCCACTCCACCACAGAGGATTGCCCAAAAAAAGAAGGCTGTCATTCAATAAATTTTAAAGTTGTAAACTTTTAAAGTGCTGTGCTTAAAGTGCTGTGTGGCATTTTCCTTCCCTCCTCCACCACCCCTCCTGGGCTACCTTGGTAGTCATCCCCCTATTTGTGTGATGAATGAATAAAGAATGCATGAATGTGAAGCAACAATGACTTTATTGCCTCTGCAAGCGGTGATTGAAGGGAGGAGGGGCGGGTGGTTAGCTTACAGGGAAGTAGAGTGAACCAAGGGGCGGGGGGTTTCATCAAGGAGAAACAAACAGAACTTTCACACCGTAGCCTGGCCAGTCATGAAACTGGTTTTCAAAGCTTTTCTGATGCGTACCGCGCCCTCCTGTGCTCTTCTAACCGCCCTGGTGTCTGGCTGCGCGTAACCAGCAGCCAGGCGATTTGCCTCAACCTCCCACCCCGCCATAAACGTCTCCCCCTTACTGTCACAGATATTGTGGAGCACACAGCAAGCAGTAATAACAGTGGGAATATTGGTTTCACTGAGGTCTAAGTGAGTCAGTAAACTGCGCCAGCGCGCCTTTAAACGTCCAAATGCACATTCTACCACCATTCTGCACTTGCTCAGCCTGTAGTTGAACAGCTCCTGACTACTGTCCAGGCTGCCTGTGTACGGCTTCATGAGCCATGGCATTAAGGGGTAGGCTGGGTCCCCAAGGATAACTATAGGCATTTCAACATCCCCAACAGTTATTTTCTGGTCTGGGAATAAAGTCCCTTCCTGCAGCTTTTGAAACAGACCAGAGTTCCTGAAGATGCGAGCATCATGCACCTTTCCCGGCCATCAACACGTTGATGTTGGTGAAACGTCCCTTGTGATCCACCAGAGCTTGCAGCACTATCGAAAAGTACCCCTTGCGGTTTATGTACTCGGCGGCTTGGTGCTCCGGTGACAAGATAGGGATATGGGTTCCGTCTATAGCCCCACCACAGTTAGGGAATCCCATTGCAGCAAAGCCATCCACTATGACCTGCACATTTCCCAGGGTCACTACCCTTGATATCAGCAGATCTTTGATTGCGTGGGCTACTTGCATCACAGCAGCCCCCACAGTAGATTTGCCCACTCCAAATTGATTCCCAACTGACCGGTAGCTGTCTGGCGTTGCAAGCTTCCACAGGGCTATCGCCACTCGCTTCTCAACTGTGAGGGCTGCTCTCATCTTGGTATTCATGCGCCTCAGGGCAGGGGAAAGCAAGTCACAAAGTTCCATGAAAGTGCCCTTACGCATGCGAAAGTTTCGCAGCCACTGGGAATCATCCCAGACCTGCAACACTATGCGGTCCCACCAGTCTGTGCTTGTTTCCCGAGCCCAGAATCGGCGTTCCACAGCATGAACCTGCCCCATTAGCACCATGATGCATGCATTGGCAGGGCCCATGCTTTCAGAGAAATCTGTGTCCATGTCCTGATCACTCACGTGACCGCGCTGACGTCGCCTCCTCGCCCGGTATCGCTTTGCCAGGTTCTGGTGCTGCATATACTGCTGGATAATGCGTGTGGTGTTTAATGTGCTCCTAATTGCCAAAGTGAGCTGAGCGGCCTCCATGCTTGCCTTGGTATGGCGTCCGCACAGAAAAGAGGCGTGGAACGATTGTCTGCCGTTGCTCTGATGGAGGGAGGGGCGACTGACGACACGGCTTACAGGGTTGGCTTCAGGGAGCTAAAAATCAACAAAGGAGATGTCTTTACATCAAGGAGTATTTCAGGCAGGACTTCATGGAGGGTTCCAATAAGAAATGGTGCACCTAAGTTATCGTTCTTATTGGAACAAGGAGGTTAGCCTGGCCTCTGATTGATACATGGCTAGATTTACCTCGCTGCACCTTCTCTGTGAGTGACTGCAGTGTGACCTAGAGGAATGAGTCCCCTAGACAGGGGAGGAGGCAAATGAGTACAAAACAAATCTGGTCTATTTCTTGTTTTGACCCACTCCATCTATCTTTTACATCTTTGGCTGGCAGCAGACGGTGCAGAAGGACTGCATGCCATCCACATCTCATGGCTGCTCGGCAGAAGATGGTACAGTACGACTGCTAGCCATCCTCATCTCTTGCCTGCCTGGCAGAAGATAGTACAATACAACTACTAGCAATCCTCATCTCTTGCCTGCCTGGCAGAAGATGGTACAGTACGACTGCTAGCAGTCCGTATCGCCTGCCCGCTCACCATAAGACGGTTCAATAGGACTGACTGCAGGACTAAAGAGAATGACCTGGTCAAGTCGCTCCAAATTTAGTCCCTGCGCCCATGTCTTCCCAGGCGCAGTATGACTGTGGCCAGGAGCACCTCGGACACGACGAGGACGACTACCAATCATATTGCACCGTCTGCTGCCAGAAGGCAATGGGTTGCTGCTACTGTGCAGCAAAGCCGTACCGCGTCTGCCAGCACCCAGGAGACATAGGGTGACGGTTACCTGAGCGGGCTCCATGCTTGCCGTGGTATAGCGTCTGCACAGGTAACTCAGGAAAAAAGGCGCGAAACGATTGTCTGCCCTTGCTTTCACGGAGGAGAGGGAGGGAACGGGGGGCCTGACGATATGTACCCAGAACCACCCGCGACAATGTTTTAGCCCCATCAGGCATTGGGATCTCAACCCAGAATTCCAATGGGCAGCGGAGACTGCGGGAACTGTGGGATAGCTACCCACAGTGCAACGCTCCGGAAGTCGACTCTAGCCTCCGTACTGTGGAAGCGCTCCGCCGAGTTAATGCACTTAATGCACTTAGAGCATTTTCTGTGGGGACACACACACTCGAGTATATAAAACCGATTTCTAAAAAACCGACTTCTATAAATTTGACCTTATTCCGTAGTGTAGACATACCCTTAGTGTTAATCACAGGTGTAGCTTCCCAGAGGTTATACCAAGGCAATATTATAACCTGTGGCTTGAGTCCAGTGAAACCAAAGATCTTCACAGCCCTTTATCAATATTGTCATATCACTATTTGAACAACAATAAAATTGTCAAGCCTTTAGATGCATCATAAAATCAGAGTTTTTAAACAACATAAGAAGTTGAAGTTATGGACCATGTTTATTTTGCTTGTTTGAATAAGAAAATAATGTTATCATTTAGCTTATGAAAAACGGAAAGCAGAACCAAAATGAAGTCTAATTAAGACTGCAGTTAAATATTTCATTGATTAAAAGCCTTCAAACAAAACAAAACAAAATGCCTGCTGCAGAGAGCTGATTAAGTAACAAAGAACTTCACTGACAATCAAGCTAAGCTAGGCTGGAGAACACTTGAGCAACACACGCACACACCCCTCTGCCTCCCTTGAGCCGTGTAAAGAACATCCATAATAAAACCAGGACTCTTTTATTGAATATTTATTTTATGTGAAGATTTTAAGTACCCATTCTTTGCTCTTGGTGGTTTAACTTAAAGTATGCAATACAAAGAATACAATCAACAGAACACTTTTAAGCAAAATATACAAATTTTAATACAAAATATATGGTGTTCTTTCAAAAAAAAGCATCCTGTCCCAGGGCTCTACTCACCTGGGGTGGAGCGGGCACTCCCACTTGCCCACTGTGGGGTTGATACATGTCACACAATTGTTGAGACTTCCATCTAAGTCAGAGAAACACAATCACTGTTTGTCATAATCACTAAGTCAGACAAACACAAACTGCACTGTTCTGATGAGGAACTATGGCAGAGAGGTTAAGTGACTTGCTTAAGGCTACAGAGTGACCATCTCAGAGGTCAGGAGTTCCTAACACTAAAACCTATCCACTCAGTTAAGCAGACATTAATTGTGGGTGCACACTGCTTAATTTGATAAAATTAGAAATGGACCCTGTATATTCCCAAGTGCCTGCCCTGGGCTATCCTACCCTGCATCACCCAATAGCTCTTACAACACAAACCACATAGTTGGCACTGCTTTGGCCCTCAGAGCTTGTGTAGCTCTGACGTAAAAAGGCTATCTCTAATAACATTCAAGTATACACAATAGAATTAAAGTGAGTGTATTTTGCCAAGAATATCAATTTTCTCTTTTTTGTTAAGCCACCATTGTGAAATATCTCTTTAAATATTAGTTTTCCTCTGTGGGGCTTGGATATAACAGAATGTGAACAAAAAAGTGTCACTTCTTTACCCATTTGTACTATGAGCTACTAGACTGCACTACCTGTCATTACAAAAACTTGGTCCAAACAGGTGGCTGAACTCTGAGCAGTGTACACAACCTTTAAGCTTTGCTTAGAACAATGCCAATCATTTTCAGGAAGCTTTGAGGTTCAATAACAAAAAGCAGATATATAAAACATGACACTAAATTACAGTATTAGACTAAAATTGTATAATACCCTGTAAACAGCAGCAAAAACCGTTGCAATGTACCACCATTTGCACTCTCTGTGAGTGCAAATGAAAGAATTTGTGCTTTGGAACCCCTGTTGGGGCAACTCCATTGAAGCATCCATTTATGAACATAAACAGCTTTTTGAAACATTTGTTTTTGCAGTGTGAATGCATTAACAAGCTAATTTAGCATAATATTGAAATGTAATAAACAGCTTGACCCCTTTCAAGATCAATTATTTTCACAAAATAGGTTTCCAGCTTCAGCATGTTGGCAGAATGTCAGCATCTAAATAAAACTATTGGCATATCATGAGGATATCTGTTTTATATTTTGAAGCATTTCATCACAGCCTCGTTGAACTGAATTGAATTAATATTTGTATTTCAGAAAGCTGGATATAAATATGGATGCATAAAACGTTCCCCTAAAACAGAACATAAGAACTCAGCCTTTCGAATCCGTACAATCATATTTGAATAAAAGACAGGCTATTGAATAGTTGTGTCATTGAGCTCAGTTCTGACATTTCAGATGCATACTTTATTTTGTAGAGGAAGCAAATAAGCCAGGTGCTGTAGACCCATCAACTCTTTTTCCAGAAAAGGAACACAAACAGTTACATTGTATAGAAAAGATGGTTCCACTGATGGATCATGATCCTTTAACTTTTTTTCCACAGGAGGAAAGGAGGAATAATATTGGTCATTATGCATTTGCTAAGTGACTTCAGTCTATTTATGAGTGATACACCATCCAATCCACAGACTTGCATTCTTGGTTTTGCCATTCTTT